ACAAAAAACACAAAGACGTTTACAAATTTTTAAAAAAAGGGTTAAAAAATAAAAAAATGTTTAAATTCAAACTTTTTATATATATTGATTTCGTTATTTAAACAGCAAAAAGTGGGCAATAATAATTAGAAATACTTAAGCTTAAAAGGTATACGTATGTTTTTAAAGCTTAAAATATGTCGAGTATTATTAAAGTTACATGTTTTACAAATATTAGTAAAACTTAAAAGGTATACAAATGTTAGTAAAACTTAAAAGGGGTGCGAATTTAAAAAACTTAAAAGCTATACTGTTAGTAAAACTAAAAGGTATGCGAATGTTAGTAAAACTTAAAAGATATGCGAAGCTTAGTTAATTATGTACGACAAGTACATTTTATGAAACTGTGTTATAGAAAAAATCATTTTAATATTATATTAAAATTTTTAAATTTGTTTTTAACTTACTTTTTGCCGATAAAATACTTAATTTACATTAGTTAACACACTGAAGCTATTTTGGTCAAATTTTTAAATAATATTTAAGCTTATTTTCCTATAAGCAAACATAAGGTCTTAATTGAAATATTAATTACTAAGAACGATAAAATATTAAAAATTTGTGAAACACAAATAAAATATTACAATTTACATGACAAATAAACTTTTTCTAATACAAAGTTTCTAATTTATTAGAATGTTTTAATTATACAAATATTTTAGATTTTTTAATGTAAAGCAAAATTAATTTGCGAAATTTTACTGTTACAAATATTTAATTTGTATGTAAGTTGTTAGATTATAAAATCTTTTTTAAAATATACTCTTTTTCTCATTTATAGTATAAAGGTAACTTAAGTTCTTTTTACTGACCACAAAATTTTATACAGATATTAATATAAACACCTCAAAAACAATAAACTAATTTTCATTTTTAATAAAAGTTTAAATAATAATTAACTTAAAACAGCAGGTATGTAATTGTTTATTATTTAATACTTTATAAAATGAGCTTTATTTAGTAAAATAAAATTAATATTTTTTTGATTAATTATTGATAAATTAAATTTTAAATTAAAACATGATACATAATTGCTAGATCTATAGCACCAATACATAAAAATTAAATATTTAGTTATACCTTTTTTTCATTTATTTTCTTAATTTTATAAAAAATATTTTTTTTTATCCTTATGTTTTTTATAGGTTTATTTTTTGCATTGCTTAACTCCACGATTTACTTTACAAAAGTTGATCAAAGAAATTTCCATAAAGCAGTTATTATTTTACCAAATAAATATCTCTCTGAAGGCCCTAGTATATTTTTTTTTAAAAAAAACAACACTGGAGGTGAAAACAATGTTGGCACTTTTATCATTGCGGAAACAATAGAAAATCTTTATTTAAAAGATTTTAATGATACTGATCAAGAAATTAAATTATTAAAAGCACGGTGGACTAATAAGAAAAAGCAAGAAGAATCATTTTATTACTTAGAAAATATCTCTTACTCTTCTTCAAGTTGCTTAATAAAGTTAGTAAAAAATAAAAATACTATTTTTAAATCAAAAGAATTTAAAATTCCTAAAGTTGTAAAACTTTTGCAATTGCATGATTTAAATTTACATGAGGAAAAAACTACTAAACGCGAAACGCCAAAAAAATTAAACAAAAATAATGTTAATAGTCGTAATAATTGTGATTATAATGATATTAATAAAAGTGGTAGTAATTTTAATGGAAAGCATAGTCTTAATAATAGTAATAATAGTAAAAATATTAAAAGTGTTAAAAGTGGTGTTAAAAGTGGTGTTAAAAGTGGTGTTAAAAGTGGTGTTAAAAGTGGTGTTAAAAGTGGTGTTGAAAGTGGTGTTAAAAGTGTTAAAAGTGGTGTTAAAAGTGGTGGTAAAGGTGGTGTTAAAAGTGGTAATAGTAAAAATGGTGATCATAGTCGTAATAATAATAAAGATGGTGATGATAGTAAAAATGATAATGATAAAGATGATGATGATAGTAAAAATGGTGATGATAGTAAAAATGATAATAATGAAAATGGTGATGATAGTACAAATGGCAATAATATTAATGATTATAATAGTGGTAATACTTCTAAGCCCTACAGTGCATCAGACCAAGAAATTGGACTAACCTTGATATTCGCAATTGCCGTGTTGTATTTGCTGTAATATTTTATCTTGTTTATTACAAGTCGAAAAGACATAACAATTATTAAAAAATTACAATTTTACTATTAATTAGTCTTTTTAAGTTTTTTATCATTGTTTAAGCTACATTATTAGTAAAAGGCAGATTTACAAATATTAAGGAACTGGACTTGTTTTTTCATAAAATATCCCTCTTAAAATAAATGATCAAAATGTGCTAGATGAGATTACTAGGGCCAATGAATATAAAATGTTACTATTTTTGTTCAGAACAAGAATTATAAGGTCTGGGATGAAATGTAGTTTTTGTAACATAGACATATGTATTTAAAAAAGTAACAAGGCATATTGATAAGTTTTCTTAGCGCTGTATGAATTATAGATGTAATGAGATCTTTTACATCTATATCTAACAAAAAAAAATCTGTTTTATCTAGCTTTCAAATTTCTGCATGTTTATTTTTAAAAGGAATTTATTTTGTTTCAATGGATATCCAGAATTCAAGAATTTAAAAACTAACTACATCAACAAAAAGAATAGAATAAAAATATGAAAAATATTTGCATTGTCTATTTAAGAATATTTTGTAAGAAATTCCGTTAGGCTGAGCGGCCCAATGTTATAATACAAGTTGATGAAACTAAAATAAATCATAATGGCAAATCTTATAGAGGTCGAGCTGCTAGGCCCTAGTTGGTGTTTTGCATCCCAGATACATGGTTTTCCCTTTTTTTTTGAGCTATTATAATCCAGTTGATAATAGACGCACAGAAACCCTTTTAAATATAATAAATGATGTATCATCGCGGAAAGTAATATTTGTCTAAACGAATGGTCTGATCTGTCAACAGATCGTTATTTACGCATTGTAATTATAAACTAATAATACTAGTCAAAGTACAATTTTGTCAGCCCTAATGACAGTACTCATACACAGCACGTTAAGTCTTATAACAACAGGTTAAAATTCAAAATTAAATTTTGTAGAGGAGAAAAATGTAACCAGCGACCTTAATTTCTTCGTGAATTTATGTTTGGAATACGGCATAAGACATTAAGTTTTCTTCTTTTACTAAATTAATTTAACTACCGTTTTCTTAGCTTTTAATATAACTTTTTTAAAATCTTTAAAAAGATCGTAGTTTGGGTTAAATCCAAAAACTATTGGAGTCATAGTTATGTTATGCATATTGTGTAAATGTTTGTGTCAAGGAACAATAATATTCCATTTTGTAAATTTTAATAATTTTTGTATTTATGCAGGAATGAGAAAAACCAATAAAAATATTGTTGATAGTTTATCTATAACAAGATAAACAAAGAACCAAAAGCAAGAATTCCTTAAGGCTGGCTTATTAAAATTTTTGTTAATTTTTGTTTGTTTCTCTGTTTTGATCTTTTCTTAGTTTCATCTCTTCAAGGTATTTTCTGTTCAAATAGTTTTATTTTAATTGATATTGTTATTATTATTTTCTTTAAACGTGTCTGCTGATTGCAAATTCCTTTATATAAAATATATGCTTGATTGTTTCATATCAACACATATATCTGAATGTCAAACCGAGGCAGAACAAACCTCTTTATTGGTTCATGGTGTCATCACACGACTACTTACAACAAATATTATATTTTTGACATTTAATTTACTATTTAAAAAGAATATTCAATTAAAGTTTATTCTTAGTTTTTCTGATAGTTTAAGCATCCTTTTCTAGTCTTCCTATTTCTTGTTCAATTTCCTGCTTGATGTTATGTCGTTTATTCCCTTTATATGACGCGTCGAGGTTTTATCAAGTTTTATATGGCAGAGGCTGTTTCAAGACACATCTTGGACTGTCTCCTGACAAAATCAAAAGTTTTCTAGTAAGATGTTACCGTAAGACATAACTACTTTATAGTAAAGCGCTAGTAAGCCTTATTGTACACTTTGATGTTTATTTTTGTTTTATTATAATAATTTATTTTGTTGTTATTCTCAAAATTCATGCAATTATTTTTTAATTCCTAATTTTTTTTGTTTTTTTTTACACTAAAAATTAAAACGTTATGAAAAAATATGACATCTACACCACTTAAAACGAATTAATCAACATTATTTTATCAAAAACTTTTTTATGTATTTTTTTTAAATAAAATTAGAGGTTTAAACAATTAATTAGTTACATCATATTGCAATAATAAGAAGTCAAAATTGTGAAATTAATATTTAATTAGGTTCATGTTAATTATACGCTGTTTTTAAAATTTTAAAAATTTTTAAGGTTTAGAATAGTTATAGCAATGAAGATATTATGGCTTTATAATTAATAAAGAATATATAGACTGTATGTTCATTGATTTTAGTACAACCAATACTACACTTTTCAATTTTGAATGTTTGCTACTACGATGACTTGCAACGTATGTTTAAGAAGTTGTCTAATGGTATATGTAAAGCGTAAGAGTGCTCTAGATGGTTATAATTGGTCTTGTAAAAGACCGTGTTTGCACACAGTTTCTCTAAGAACTGTCAGCTTTTTTAATTCTTTCAAAATTGGTGTTTAAGTTATATTTAAGGCCACTTATTAATAGCTTTCTGGAATTTCTATAGAGATACTGCATATGAACTCAACATATGTCGGCAAACAGCAAGTGGTATAGCTGATTTAGTTGGGGAATCTATTTGTGAATATATGGCTTTCAGACAAGTAGAATGGATGAGCATGGAGTGCCGAAAGTTGTGAAGATAGATGAAAGTTTATTTTTTAAAAGAAAATATAACTGTGGGAGAGTGCGAAATGGTCAATGGTTTATAGGAGGCATTTAGTGTGGCGTTAGGTCCAAAAATCACCGAAATATTTGGGTGGTTTAAAAAGCAAATAAATTGATAAGCTAACATATGTTAGTATTAATAATTTAGGATCAAACCCGTATTTTCGGACATAAAATGTGACCGGGAATAAGACCTTAATGAGTTTTTTTTAATTTTTATCCTTATGGAAGCATATTACAGCATTTATAATAATGAAGTCTTAACATTTGTGATACTTTTTAAGATTCTCCTATTTTTTGATACAATCAACTTAAACAATAAAACTATTACACGCAGCAAACGTCAAGATGATGTAAAAATTTTGATAAATTATTGGTTTCAGGTAAAATATGAATAAAGAACGCATGGTAGTAATGTAAAAGTAGGGATCAATGTCATCATTTCCCTTAGAAAAAGCTAAAGGTTTTTGTTAGGGTAGGAAGGACGGATAGGTTAGAGGTGTAATGTCATTTTTTTACCCTGTGTGGAAATAATGACATTGAATTATAAGTAAAATAGAATTTTTTTAAAATCTTAATTTTAGATATTATGAGTAAATATTGTATGAATTTGGTCAAATATGAAAGTTTGGTTAGATCAAAAAATTTATGTATTAACTCATTAAAGTTATATATTTTTTTTTATTTATTTATTTTAAGAGTCTTCTATTGGATATGTCCTGGAATACGGCCCTGCACTCAAATGATAGTAAAGCTTAAAATGTATACGAATGTTAGTAAAAATAGAAGGTTGTAAGAACGTTCTTTAAATATGTACGACTGTTATATTTTGTAAAATAGATCCCGTTTTTACTCGGTTTAATAAAAAATTTTAGCCCCTACTTATGTCAAAAATTACAAAAAAAGTAATAGTTATAGAAGCTGAACTTTTTAGTGATATAAAAATAAAAGGCCATATTATGAACGAAATATTATTTTAAACTGCGCTTTTAGAACCTCATAATACAAATATAAGGATGGCAAAATGCGCCTTATCGAAAATAAAAAATGCTGCTATAAGTGCGAAGATTATCCGCCCTTAGATTATATCGGGTGCACGAAACATTCAGACAAACATGTGTGGGCTTGTGTTAGACCATGTAGATTTGCGATTTCGATTAGAAAGAGAAGTGTTTTTGAAAATTTTAAATATAGTTTTAGGGAAATTATTTTATTTTGTATAAATATATGCTGGGGATGTCATTTTCAAAAATGGGTTTTAAATTAAGCAGAGATTCTACTATATAGATAAATTGACGGATTTGGCAACAAAGGCTGTTTGTGAATATATCTGCGCCAATAGTGAAAAGATTGATGACTATGATTTTAACGGGCTACAAAAATCGTAGAAATCGATGAAAGCTTATTTTTTAAAACAAAATATAATCGTAAGCGGCTAATTAATGAACAGTGATTTATGAAAAGGACAAAACATGGGTCTAAAAGGTGTTTTATTGCGCCAGTTTTGAATAGAAGTCGTATTAGAATGACAAATATTATAGTTGAAAATGTAAATTTAGGAACGAAAATTATAACTGATAAGTAAAGAGAATATGGCGTGCATCATCAAATATGCCAAATATTAAACATGAAACATTAAACCACAGTAATAATTTTGTAGATGCTAACGCTTTTTCTGTACATACACAAAATATAGAAGGATTGTGGTCTAGATTGAAATATTTCTTTAGAAAACAAGGAAGACATTTCTGTCGAAAAACAACCTACTAATTTTATAGAATTTAACTGGCAGCAAAGCATAAGCAAAAGACAAAGTGTGGCATCCCCACAGTATTAATATAAATTTAAATGTCAATCGCTTTGATACCCTTGACATAGATAAAAATTTAATATAAAATCCCATCCCCAATTCAGGCGCATGATAAAGTCAAATAAAACCTCAATAAGTCGTTATCACTTATATTCTATTATTAAACGAGTCCTCGACGGAGGATACGTCACAAAGAATTGTAAAACTGCTTATTTTATTACAATATATTAAATTTTTATAATGATAATTTTTTCTTTTTTTTTCAAAGCCCGAATATAAGCAGGATCTACCTTTTATAAATAATGTAATATTTAAAAAAATTAAATTATTAATATCCTTTTTTTACTGTTCTTCTGTTTAAAGCCAAAGTCCTCAGATTCTTCAATTTTTTCCATTAATTACTTTTCGTCAGCTCAATGTCGCCAATTCCGATAATACATTTTTCAAGTCTCCTTCGATAATCCAGAGAGATCCTCTTCATCTTTTTCTTAAGGGTTGAGTTAAAATGTAGGCTTCCGACTAGATGAGAGACCCATTTGGGGGAATATTTATGGTAAGTAGTCTTTAATTCATCAGATTTTAACACAAAAGAAGTGTTGTTTAAAAAATCAATTGAAATTATATTTGTTGGGGTAAACATGGGATTATTTAAAAATTATTATTTATATAACAGATATGTCAAAGTCATCAACCCACTACTGCTGATTGACATGTCTACATTTTTACTGTCCTACAGTATCCATTATTTATTGCTTTAATAGAAATAAACAATCTTCATATAAACCTTAATTTTTTATTCTCGTTTTTTAGCAAGCATATTGTTTATTTCTTCTTCTATATCATTGCTTTAGATACTAATCTATTTTCCGCTAAATTAAGCATTTGTACATTTTAAATAGGATATAAAAATTTTAAAAACGAAGTTTTGCCAATATATTACATATAACGAACTTTAAATAAGATTTAAAAACAATACTAAAATTTTTACTATGCAAGACACTTATTTAAAACAACTCATCATTAAAAATCGTAGCTCCCACAGCACAACCCATTGAGACATATCCATTATGTTGTAATATTAGTATTCTTCTCTTTATATCTAAATTTTATGCCATCAATTACTGGTATTCTATTCCTTTTAAATTTTATATACGAAAGAAATTACACTTATAGGGGTTGAATTCTAAAAAAAAACTGGTGATTTTGAGACATCACAATTTCATATCAATATAAACAATAAAATATAATTCGTTTTTTTAAGATTTCATTAAATAATCAATAATTAGTAAATTTAAACCAATATTTTTTAAAAATAATTAGTGAATTAAATTTTACATTAAAATATGACACATAATTTCTAGATCTATAGCATCAATACATAAAAATTAAATGTTTAATTAAACATTTTTTTCATTTATTTTCTTAATTTTATAAAAAATATTTTTTTTTATCCTTATGTTTTTTATAGGTTTATTTTTTACATTGCTTAACTCCACGATTTACTTTACAAAAATTGATCAAAGAAATTCTTATAATGCAGTTATCATTTTATCAAATAAATATCTCTCTGAAGACCCTAGTATACTTTTTTTTAAAAAAAACAACACTGGAAGAGAAAACAATGTTGGCACTTTTATCCTTGCAAAAAAAATAGAAAATCTTTATTTAAAAGGTTTTAATGATACTGACCAAGAAATTAAACGAATTAAATGGCTGTGGATTAATAAGAAAAAGAAAAAAAAATCATTTTATTACTTAGAAAATATCTCTTACTCTTCTTCAAGTTGCTTAATAAAGATAGTAAAAAATAAAAATACTATTTTTAAATCAGAAGAATTTAAAATTCCTAAAGTTGTAAAACGTTTGCAATTGCAAGATTTAAATTTACATGAGGAAAAAACTACTAAACCCAAAACGCCAAAAAAATTAAATAACAATGGGAGTAATTTTTCTAAAACCAGCACTATGTCAGACAAAGGAACTAGACTTACATGGATATTTGTAATTATTATTATAATTGTACTTGCTATAAAATTTTATCTTGTTTATTACAAGTGGAAAAGGAACAACAATCAATAAAAAATTACAATTTTACTATTAATTAGCCTTTTTAAGTATTTTTATCATATTTAAGCTACATTATTGGTAAAAGGTAGATTTGCAAACAGTAAAAAATTTTTGTGGTATATTATGTTATGCATATTAAGTAAATGTTTATGACGTATCTTCCTAAGAGATACTTTAAAAAAATAGGGATAATTTTAAATAATTTATTTCAATCTCGTGAGACTATATGGTTTAATCATATTTATCATATCCCCAATTTGGGGATAATAAAAAAAATAAATTTTAATATATATTAAAGATTTTATGGTTGAATACTTTGACAATTAAAATAAATAATGTGATCCTACACAGTTTATATATAACAAGATTGTGCGAGTATTGCCAGGGGGCTGGCCAGTGCACAGAAAGTTCTCTACTACAATTATTCCTTGATAAAAAAGTAAGATTAGTACTTAAATGTAGTTTATTGAATACTTGCACAGAATGATTCCTATTAGATGACCAAGGTTGCTATTTTGCATTGGTATGTAGTTATACTTATCTTAAAATTATAAAATTTTATTCATGCAAAGTTTTTAAAAATTTTTTTTATAAAATGAAAAGAAAAACTCAATTAGTAATTTATTTCACAAAAATATATTAAAAATCAAAAGCAAAAGTCAATAGTTTTTTAATGTATGTCCCCGTAAGACATGATCATTTTTCAGTAAAGCTTCATTAAGGTTTTATTGTAAATTTTGATATTTAATTTCGTTTTATTTAATAATTTATTTTGTTGTTATTTTAAAAATTGTGGTAGCCTAGAGATTTACACAATTATTAATTTAATTATTAATACCTTGATAATGAAATTTTTAGGATTATAGATATAATTTTAAAAATGAAGGGTAACTAGACATGTTTAAGAAAATGGGAGAGCATGGTGGAAAAAAATTTAGGAGCTAAGAAAGAGGATTAAATAGAATAAACAATAATAAAAGTAAAATGTTAAAAGTACGATTTTGTGGTACTTACAGACGGGGAAAATATCTTTGAAGCCCGACAAAATTATAAATAAAATAAAAAATTAAAAGTTTTTAAAAAATCATAACATCTATCGAATTATAACGAATTTAAGAACCTTATTTTTATTAATATTTTTATATTAGTTTTTCTTTCTTTTTGCATAGGTCAGAAAAATTTTAAAAATTTACTAATAAAATAAAACATTATTTTTCCTCGTCAATTTTTCAAGCAAATTTTATGTACTTTTTTTCATATTAACTTAAAAATTTTACAATTTTTCGGTACATGCGTATTACACTAACAAGAAATCAAAGTTAGCAAATAAATATACAATCTTACAAAAAAAAAATTTTTTTTATACAAAAAAAGTCTTGTGGATTTAGTTTAAAAGCCGTAGTTTTCTCACATTGTTTAAAAATTTTCTAAAAAATTTTATAAATTTTTTGTTAAATAAAAAATAAAAAAGAATGATACGAAATTAAGAAATGAAACAATGAGAATTTTATTACAAATAAAGGAACACTAACAACACTATCAATGGTACAAAGATACCATATAAAAATAATGATAATAAAATATTTAATAAAAGAAAATAATTTTTTTATTCTTACATAGAACAACAACCAAAGTTTGGACATTTCACTAAAAGTTACGACAAAATTGTAACAGAAAAGGTATAAAAAACAAGAATATGAATTTTAAAAAAATTAACTTCTTTTTAATTTGTTAATGAACTTTAGATCTTTAACAATTTACACTTTAAAATAATCATAAAATAAATATTACCTAAGATAATTATCCAATAAGTTTAATTAACACGCAATAATATTGTAGGAATGTACAACTAAATATAAAACATTTAAAGACATTTACTAGGAAGATTCAATGCATCTGTATTAAATAGTCTTTAATAATAACCCTATGTTGTTTTCTACAAAAGGAATATTTAAAAAAGCAAAAAATATATTTGTAACATCTATATTTAAATTTTTCGTGTTTAATTTTTATATAGAATTTTATAGAATCTAATAAGATAAACAATCTAAATAATACTCATTGATAAATTTTTATCTGTATATAAACTCGATTTTATTTATTTTAGTATGTGTAGAACTGTTTGTATAAATTTTTTTGTAAATAAATAATACTCATTGATAAATTTTTATCTGTATATAAACTCGATCTTATTTATTTTAGTATGTGTAGAACTGTTTGTATAAATTTTTTTGTAAATAAATATATAAATTTGCTTACCAGTCAATAAAACTGCTACAAATTATAGCATGTAATTCAAATTGTAGATTAATTGTTTTAAATGTAAAAACAACTGCAATTTAAAAATTAAGCCAATTAATACTATTGCTTATACAATATTACTTCTTATGTAAATTTTTATTTATATCTTTTTATAAGACTTCATTATTATCTACATAAGCTCTATCAAATAATTTTTTTTTATCTATTGATATTTGTTCGATCGAATTTTTCATTTTGTATGAACTAAAATTCCAATACAAAACATTTAAAGTTATCAAATGTAGAAATTATTTTAAAACAATCAGAAGTTGCTACAAGATTGGAATGATATATGATTTCAACAAAATACCTAGATTGAGTATATTGAAAGCTTTTAATATAATAAAACTTTTCTTTCGTTACATTTCTCTGATTAAATCTTTCTTTAAATTTCTCAAACCCTAAAACACATGATATATTTTTCGATGTAATTTCAATTAAGTATTCTAACGTTGCAAATTTCTGTACTAAAAAATGCGAATTTAATTCTGTATGCCTGTACAAAAATATAGAACTGCTATCAAAATGCATTTCAAATGGCAAAACTAAAATGATGTTAAACAATCCTGTTTGGTATAACTGATTTATATAAAGTGCACACTTAATTATAGATAGAAAATTAAATAAACAAAACATTGGGGTGTATTTGGTTAAGCTTTGTAGAAATAAATAATGTATAGAATAAATAAATTTATCAAGATTAAATGCTACTTATTTTCAAATAAATTTGATTTATTGAAGCAGATATATTTGACTGAAAATTTAAATTAAAATATTAATTACAATACAATTAACTATGTATAAAGGGACTTTTAATAAATAAATATTACTTTATTTATTTTTTAAATTGTAAAAATTAATATTATATTTGTTATGCGGAAGTAATTTATATATTAAATTTTAAGATAAACATATGCTTTTATTTTGACCACAAGTTTAATAATAGGAAATAAAAAAATTAATACATTAAACTTAAAACTAATAGATTTTTGTACATTTGGTTCAAAAATTTAAACTTACAACATACATACTAAATGATTTATTTAATGTTTTTTATAATTAGAAATAAAATTTGGAAGTTCGTTGAATCTCCGATCCTATAAATTATATTTTTTAAAAACGATAACGTATTTATAGACTTTTACTTTATTACATTTGCTATTTTTATTTAAAGTAACAGATGGTCTTATGAGTTATTAATGTTTGTGTTGAAATAATAAAATAATAAATTTTACTAAGTATTTTAACTAGTGTGATATTTTAATTACAGTCAATGAGATTTTATAAGTACATATAAGATCTAGTAGAATATAAACCTTTTTTTACTGTAATGTTGATCACACAGACCATTTGTAAAATTTTATTTTTTTAAAGTTATTGTGCAACATATAGCTGCATCAACAAAAAGGTAAAAAATATTTTTAAGATAATAACTGCCTTTTTTTGACATTATATTTAAAATTTATCATTTATTTAATTTTTTTAATTAATTAAATTTGTTAAAGATTTTTTTAAGTTTTGTGATTGGTACATTAAATTAGATTACTTCATCAATAGCCTATTTCTTTTCTAAATTATGCTTTCAATATCAACACTTAATACTAAAAAAAATGTGATTTAAAAAATATATTCTGGTGATAATTAAAAAAGTACTGCTTTTTTCCAAATAATTTAAAAGCTTTAATTATTCATTTTTAAATTTATAGTATCATTCTAAAATTTATAATGATTAAAGTGTACTATAAGCATACATTTGATTCTTAAAAATAGTACATTTTACACAAAATTAATTAAAATTGCGTTTGTTGTATAAACAAACAAATTGTAAAATATAAATTAATAACATTTTGTGCATAATTTTAAAAAAATAAAATTTAGATTTTACAATTGTTGAAATTTGATTGGCTGAAAAAAATATTTAAAAAAAGTTTTGAAGGAGGGGTTATGAATTTGTTATTCCTCTTAAATTGTTTGTTTGCAGAAGAACTACCCTCTGCAGCTGTAGGAATTGACTTGGGTACTACATTCTGTTGTGTTAGTATCTTTAAGGAAGGTGATAAAGAAACATCTTTTTTACAATTTCCTAATGGAGAGTACACGTATCCTTCAGTAGCTTATTACAATCAGATTGGTGACAAAGGGGTTTATCTTACAGGATGGGAAGCTTACACACATAATTTGGCTAATGCTGTGCCTGGAAGGTACTTTTATGGATATAAAAGAGTTATGGGATTAGCAGATATTTCAGAGCTTTCTAAACATGAGAAGTTCGAAAATAGTGTTACTTACAAAATTAGAAAAGTTTTAGAAAATGGAAAGAACAAAATTGAGTTTGTGATAGCAGATAAAAATAATAAGGAGTTGAGCATTACTGATGCTGAGAAATTATCTTCCGAAGTACTTAAAGATATCAGAACCGAAATTGAAAAGTACTACAAGATAAAATCTTTAGTAATTACAGTGCCGGCATATTTTACATCTTTTCAAATTGATGCTACAAAATCTGCCGCAATTATGGCATCTTTGCCAAATCCTAATATTTACAAAGAGCCATTAGCTGCTGCTTATGCATATCAAGTTAAAAAGAATTTAAGTAAGGATTCTAATGAAGATAAAATATTAGTATTTGATCTTGGAGGTGGTACTTTTGATGTATCGGTAGTTGATATGCAAGGTGAGGCTATTATTGTAGAAAAGCATGCTGGTAATAATTATCTTGGAGGAGAGAATGTTAATGACAATTTAACTAGATATTTTGGTCAGAAACTTAAAGCGGAAAAAAAAATTGATGTTACTAAAAATAAAACATTGGAATTGAGACTTAGAAGATTTGTAGAAGAATTTAAAATTAAGTTGTGTAATCAATATACGAAGGAAAACAAGAAGGAGTATTCTGAGAAATTTAATTATCAAAACATGGATACTATTGATTTTTCTCTTACCATTGATAAGTTTAACAGTCTTAATAGTAAGTTCTATGGGGATATCGAAGAGATCTTTACGCACAAAGAATACGGTATGTTTAGAGAAAATGATAACGGATCTGATACACCATTGGAAAAAAGTCAAATCACTAAGATATTGTTAGTTGGAGGATCTACTAGAATTCCTTACATTAAGAATTTACTTACTAAGTTATTTCCTAAAGCCAAGCTTTATGATGATATCAATGCGGATACTATCGTTGCTGAAGGTGCTTGTCTTTTAGCTGCCAACGATGTTAATATGTTACCTGATAATATGGCAGTAAGTGTTATTGATGTTGTACCTGTGAATGTTGGAGTTAAAGTTGATAGTGATTTCATGCAACCTGTTCTTCTTAAAGATACTTATATCCCCGGTTCAGGTACTATGGAGTTTACAACTTCTCAAGATAATCAAACAAAAGTAAGAATTTCGATAGCACAAGGTTTTAGAAGTAGATTTAGCGATAATCATTATCTAGGATCTTGTGAATTAGATGTTCAGCCAGGGCAACCAAGGGGAGTACCTAGAGTAAGTATCACTATTGCCATGTCCACTGATGGTACTATAGAAGTATCAGCCAAAGATGTAGTCACTAACAAAGAGACAGGAATAACATTTGAAAGTTCTGTAGCAAGACTCGATAAAAAGAAATATGCTGAGCTGTTAGAAGATGCAGAAAGAAATAAAGAAGCTGACAGGGAACTTAAAGAGAAGTTTGATTTACAGAGACAACTTGAAGAAGAAATAAGAGTAGTGCAAAGTAGAATGTCGCAACCAGGGATTTCTGAGGATGATAAAATTAATGTGGAAGGAATTATTAATGGTACACAGAAATGGCTTGATGATAATAAAGTATCTGCTTCTAAATTGGATATTGAAGAGAAATTAAATCGATTTAGGGAATCAATTAAAGATATTTTGGACAAGAAAGCTGAACAAGTTGAAGAAAAACCTGTAGAAGAGAAGGCTACTGCAAGAGAAGAATTATGATTAAATATTTATCTAATATTTGTTATTTAATAACATGTCTATTTAACTTAAATATTTTTTTATTATATTTCTTATACTATTTAAAAATGTATATAAATGAATTATTTATATAACTTTTATATGTTTTTTACCAAAAGATTAGGACATTTTAACGTAAGTTTTTATGCATAAATAAAAGATCCTTTCTTTAAGAAAATTTAGACGCAGGGACACGCCATTTACAAAGATTGTAGTTACTAAATTACAAAGAAAAATGTTATAAAAAACCGTTAAAGATATTGGTCTTAAGGTATTGAATAACAGGAAAAAAAGATTAGTTTTACCTAATCATAGAAACAAAGAGATGAAAGAGAAAATAAAATTCTCAAGTCTCAATATCAATCATCTCTCTAACAAGAGAGAAGAACTTGAGGTTCTCTTGAAAAAAAAGAAACCAAAAATCATGTGCCTACAGGAGACATGGAGACAATCAGTGTTCCCCTTAAGGCTTGAAAAATATACTGCTATAGAAACTAGTAGCAG